AGTTACTCATGCATTTCACTGAAATCTGTCTTAGCTACTCAGAACTGACTTTTTAACAAGCACGACTTCACCCAAAATAAGCCAAGTTAGTTCAATCCTCCAAGCACACATATTGTAGGGCAGCTCACGGCAGATGGGAGAACCTCTTACCCTTCAGTTCATCTCAGATGAAACCCAGCACTCAGACCAAATCGTGTAGCATTGGTGAGTTTCAAATAGTTGGCTGGAGACTCTCTTGTTCTTGTGGTGCTGGTCCTCACCCAGAACATGGGTGGGTAAAATCTGTCCTGAAGCTTGAAAATGGCTGTTGGCCACTCCTTTTCTTCAGCGCATTCCAGCGGGAGAATGGGGTCGCATATTGCCTTGATTAGAGCAGACTGTGGCTGCCACCTTCTCCGTGCCAGCCAGCACACACACCACGTATCAGCATTCCACTTGGACGCTCCTCAGTTGGCTGTTAGGAGGATGTGAAGACACAGTGCTGAAGGAGGCTGTTAGTCCTCCTTGGGACCATGCAGTGCCTGGAGGGGCTTTGCCATCCTGCCCAGGTGCCATGTTCTCCTTGCACCTGCCCCAAGGGCTTCACTGGTCCAGATTCTCAGAGCTCTGAGTGTTCTTTGGCAGGTCTCAAGACGTACCTGCTTACCTTGGGGATGATCTCAGATGTAGCAGTGGAAAAATCCCAGAGCAGGAGGGCTCCGGTCTCCTTGGTCACTTCCAGTGCCCCTCTGCCCTGGGGGAGGCTGCTGCAAAGGCAACAGGGAAAGGTGAGTTAGGTGACAAGACTATTCCTAGAGCTAGTCTCTCATTCACTCTCAGCAGGGGCCCTGTGCTTTGCTAACTGTCCCTGAGGTCTGTAGGTGGTGTGCAGGAGTCCAGAGAAGTGATGACACATGAAGGCTCCAGGGACACGCACAGAAAGAAAGGATCTTGCTGAGCAAGCAAAGACTTCCTGAGAGCAGTCCTGCTGGAGATGCATCCTTCGGTTTTGGTTTTTTGGGTTTTTTTATTAACCTTGACAAGGGCTTTCTGACTGATACTGATGGACCAACAGATCTATAAGGATTATCTATAAGGTTATCTCTTGGCATGCAGCCATCTGTCTCTCCGGTCTGTTGGGGAAGGGGGTTCTCTTTCTCTTGGTGTATTCACTGCTTGGGAGTAGCATCTGACCAGGCTGAGGGTGCTTCCCGCTCACCTGTCCTGCTCTTCCCCAGGGTGATGCGCCTGACTCGCTTGCCCCCCGAGATCGTGGAGCACAGCGAGCCCCTCCAGGTTGTGCGGTACGACCAGGGAGGGCACTACCATGCCCACATGGACAGTGGCCCCGTGTTCCCTGAGACTGCCTGCAGCCACACGAAGCTCGTCGCCAACGAGAGCGCTCCTTTTGAGACCTCCTGCCGGTAAGCTCTGCCCTGACACAGTCTGGAACGCGTTAGAGAAGGGCTGTGGAGAGACATCTCACTTCGCCCCGCATGGGACTTGGTGCCTGGGTTATGGGGCTCACAAACCAGCTCAGGAGATCACTGGCATAAAGGGGTTTGAAGGAGAAGGCAGGCAAATCCTGTGGGCCCTCACAAGGAGGTCAGAGTGATGTGCAGAGCTGCTGGGCCATCCCCACCAGAGCCTACAAGCGCACTCTCACTGTTCTGGGTGGGGATTTTCTTTGTTGTCCTTGTGTTATTCTTCGAGAAAAGCTGATGGTGTAAATCATGTGCCTTGTTATGTCTTGGAGGAGCTACTGTATGTATGGTGGAGGGGCAGGGTGTGGAGAGCCCCTGTGCCTCTCCTCCAGGTGTTCCAGGTGTGCCACCTGACAGCCCCTCTGTCTTGCAGGTATGTGACTGTGCTGTTCTACCTGAACAATGTGACTGGGGGAGGCGAGACGGTCTTTCCTATTGCTGATAACAGGACGTACGAAGAGATGGTAAATGAACCTCACCTTCATGTTACCCCTGGGGATTCTGAATCCCTCTTTGAATGTCTTCATTCACTGTGACTGCAGAAGGGGGCTGGTGTGTGAGGCTGCTGAGTGTTAGGGAAGCTGTGCTCTGCTTATGGTCTTCTCCCTCTGAGGCCAAGGGAAGAAGCACAGGGCTTTGACAGCTGCAGCTCTCCCTGCTCAGAGATGTGAGGGGCAGTCTCTTGGCCTTGCTGCCACAACATGAGTCCTGCTTGCTTCTCTCTGAGCACGTTTCCTCAGACTAAGCCTTGGCAGGTATGTTGTGCTCCTGCCAGGCAATGTGTTAAGGAATGGGCAGCTGCTCAGAAACAGGTTATGGACCTCCAGGGGACTGAAACTGGCTACTCTGGATGGGTTGTGAAAGCCCCTGTGTCACCCTTGAGCTGTCCCTGTGGGGCAAGGAGCAGGGTGATGGCTGGTAGCAGGAATAGCCCAGTGCATGTGCCTCATTCCAGCCCCATTGGCAACACCTTCCCTGTGGTTCCTCCCCAGTCTTTGATCCAGAACGATGTTGACCTGCGAGATACTCGGAAAAACTGCGACAAGGGCAATTTGCGAGTGAAACCTCAGCAAGGCACTGCTGTCTTCTGGTACAACTACCTGTCTGATGGAGAAGGTATGGGCTTGTTTCAAGACTTGGCTCTTGGGAGGGGTAGACTGCAGGAGGTGACAGCCATTATCTTCTTGCTGTAGCTGGGAGCTCAGAAAACAGCTAAAGGGGATAGCTGCCTGCTAGTGGGAACTGTAGAATCTTCTTGTCACCAGCTGGGTAGGAGCTTCCTGACTCTGAAAGGCCTTTGTTTACAGGCAGTAGGTCAGTGGCTCCTGATGTCTTTGGGGGACGGGACTAGCTAGCAAACAAAGACCTTGGCTGCACTCGCCACCGCCAGCTGCCTCCCATCCTGCTGTGCAAGCTGAAACTCCTGCTGGAACTTGGTCTGCAATTCAGAATGTGTCACTGATGTGGTGTTGCCCAAAGGGGTGGGGAGGGGAGGTAGACAAAGGCACGGCCATCAGCTCTGCAGCACAGGCAGGCAGGGGCCACCCCACACAAGGCTTGGGGCCGACGCCTGCTTTGTAGCTCAGCCACAACCCCGTGGTATCTGTCCTTAGGGCTGTTTTTGTCATGAAGCACAGTGTGGTTTGCCCTGACAGGCTGGGCTTTGACATGAATATTCCAGGCTGCTGGTGAGCATGGCTCCAGAGGGTTTCGATGGCAGATTTTGAGCTGTGGTGGGAGGAAGGAGTATAAACTCCCAGGGCCCCTGGGAGCAGCCCATATTTCCATCTCTAGAAAATCCACAGAGAGGAGGTCACAAGACCAGTGTTTGGGCTGTTGGGTGAGAATATCAAGACCATCAATGCTGCGAGAAGAGCCCTGTTGTGTTTTTATGAGCAATTTGTTCCTAAATGGAAAGTAGCTGCTGGTGCAAGTCTGCCACAGAAAAACCATGGGACCTCTGTAAAGAGAGGGTCATTTAGAACTGCTGAAATGCAGTCTCCAAAATGGCTATCAGCCTCTGACTTCACAGACCTTCTACCAGCAGCACTCATCTCTTCCATGCCAGCTTCCCTTTTTGGGAAGAGTTGAGAAAAACAGCTGCTGTGATGCAGAATGCAAGAGCCCCCTTGTGCTGAATGGAGATGTGGAGGCAATGAGCATTTTGTACCCAGGAGTGTGCCCTGGTGAACTCCTCATAGGCACTAGGGTGGGGTGGCACTAAGATGGAGGGGTGGCAGGAGGAGCTACTCCTGTACGATGTATCAGCTCAAATCCAAGCAGGCACTGCAGGCAGGAGAACCAACATCAGTGTTTGCTGGCCAGGTGTCCCCGCACGGTTCTGGCTCTGCCTGCCCTCCTCACCACCTCCTACCACGGCTCTGCTCTTTTGCAGGCTGGGTGGGGGAGCTGGACGACTTCGCCCTGCACGGAGGCTGCCTGGTCACCCAAGGCACGAAGTGGATCGCCAACAACTGGATCAATGTCGACCCTAACCGCCGGCGGCAGCAGCAGTTCCAGCAGGAGATGGAGCGCTATGCGGGGGCGGGGGCCGATGCGGGAGCCGGGGCCGGAGCCCCGGGCGAGTGGACAGTGGACAAGGCCTACAGCGGGGTGCACTTGGAGCTGTAGGCGCGGGGACCTGGCCGCGCGCACGTGGCCTTTTCCCGCGCTGTGCGGGGGGGCGGGGCCGCGGACCACGTGCGCGGCGGGGCCGCGTCGCGCGCCAATAAAGCGTGCAGAGACGGGCGCCGCCTCCGCGTTCTCTGGGGGCGGGGCCACGCGGCTCGGCCAATGGGCGGCTGGCGGGGCCGTGGGGGTGCCGCCAAGATGGAGTCGGTGGCGCTGGTGGCGCCGGTGACGGCGCTGGAGTTCGCGGGGGACGCGCTGCTGGCGGGTGAGCGGCGGGACCGGGATGGGAGCGGGACGGGACGAGGTGGGCGGTGGGAGCAGCGGCGGCGGTGGCTGACGCGGTGTCCTGCAGGCACGGGCCCGGAGGTGGTGGCGTTCCGGCTGAGTGGAGGCGGGACGGCGGCGCGGAGGAGCGTGCTGCGTGAGGCCAGCGTGCAGGGGCTGCGGGTCGAGCCGGGCCGCGGGCCGGCGGCGCGGGTGGCGGTGTTCGGCGGGCGCTGGCTGGC